TGTGTACCCCCTACGCAGCAGACAGAGTACAACAACAGCTCCAGAATTGCATTATTGTGTTACTAAAAAAGAATGATGATTACACAGTCATGGTAGCATTAACAGATTGCTAAAGAATATTCGGTGTGTATCAATGACAGTGGAGCAATATGTACTTGTACATTTAATTCACAAATGCAGCTTCCATGCCAGCATATTTTAGCTGTACATTTGTCCATTCATGGGATCTTTCTGAAATCTGGGTTGCACCTAGATGGCAAACAGAACAATGCAATGTCATTAATTCTAGAAAAACTGCTTTTGCAGTTGGCAGAATTGTCGAGAAGAAAACAGTGACCCGTTCTGAAAAGTTTACAGAAGTGCACAGAATATGTAGGGACATTGCAGCCTTGTCTGCTGATCTGCTCCACAGAGAATTTTGTGCCAGATATGAGTTGATAAGCAAATTACACAAGGCTATTAAAGAGGGAGTGAAACTCAATTGGAATACACCACAGGAAGATGACGGTAATGCGAGTGAAGATTCCTTTGATGACTTTGCTACAATGTGTGCAAATGCAACGTTGCAACCATTATTAGACAAAGAGTACTCGTTTATGAAACCACATCAAGACATCATAAAGCAAGGTTGTGGAAGAGCACATTGAACAACCTCCAGAATAACCAAAAAGCACATTGAACAACATGTTACCTCCAGAAACACCAAACATCATGTCACTTCCAGAATCACCAAAGAGCACATCGAACAACATGTCAGCTCCAGGTTCAGAAAAGAGGAAGTCCAACAATGCGTCACTTACAGTATCATCAAAGAGTGAACCCAACAACCTGTCACCTTTATTACAGAAAGATCACATCCAGCACTACAACAATCATACAGAGCTGTTATATCACATTCTACACTAAACCTGTCACAGCAAGCAGCTAGATTAGGGAGTATGACAAAAGAAAAACTGTTGAGACTGAGAAGTACACTGCATTTACCAATATCATAGAAACAACTAAGAGGTCGTCCTCGTCAAAAGAAACGAACTGCCTCCACCATGAACAATAGTAGCATTTCAGCAAACAAGGTAAAAATGTCTCCAGTGAGTGTTAGTTGAAGCAGTACCAACCAATAGACGTGCACCTGCAAAGAAATATTTAATCAAGAAAGGGTGAATAATTACGTGACGAGTATGCCTAAAAAATACATTAACAATAATATCCAACAATTCTTAGGTAAAAACAAAAGAGCATCGCTGTCGCGTTTGAACACTTTGTCACCGTTTAAGTATCTCAGATTTGAAAGTTAATTTTAAGACAAACTAATATGCAGAAAGAATAATTCATATTATATATTAATTAGAAATACTTTATTGTATTTGTAATATTTTTATTAGTTTAAAGCTAAGTAGGCTTGAGAAGTGTAAGTTGGCAAAGTGTCATTACCTCAAATAAAAGTGTTTACATATTTTTTCCAAAATTGGTCGTTGTGCCACTAATTAATTGACAACATTCTGCATCAAACTGCAGGCGCAAATTATTGACTCACTAATACAATGTATAATTAACTGCTAATTAATTCATTCATGATCATTCATTCCAATGATTAGACCAACCAGCTGATAGCATTGTTGCATTTTATTCATAATTATATGTCTTTATGTCTTGGCACATATCAGTTACTCTTCTAGAAGACTAAAATCCAAACTAGAAACTTATTTAGTTATTTGCATTGCAGATTAACATTTAAATCATGATAGCGCCAATAGGATTAAAAATAAAACAATAGCCTACTGATTTAGCAAGGATTATCTGTGAGTATTTCACATCTCTTAAATCTTTTATAGTTTAAAAATTAGAATGAAATGATTCTAAAGTGTTCCAATTCTGATTTTCCAGCAAGACAGTCTTATTGTGATGTCCTATTAGCTTCACCCCTCTGTCCCTTAAAGAAAAAATAATCGAGAATGACAACACTGTCATTAATATACATGTTTGTTGGAAATGTCATCCTAAAAAAGATTGGTGTGTACCCCTTAATTCGCTAAACATGGTATTTTGACATTGGAATTTTATTTTAACTATTTTCTCTGAAGACATTTTCTGTTTTCCTTATACTTTATATTGAGTATTATAAAACACAGTGAAAATTAGATCTATACAAAATGCCTGAAAACTGTTTCCGGCAAAAATGAATTCCAGTGTAAATAAACTGGAGTGTAGTACAATATAGTACACCACACCAAAAACATCTTGGTCCAACAATTTTATTCTAGTAACGTTTCGGGGATGATGAAATTACCCCTTTGTCAAACTGGAAAGTGTAAATAAAGTGTTTTACAGTATGATACAAAGTTCCACAAATTTGTTTTTTGGAGGGGGGAGCAGTATATATATACTTTTGGTATAAAGTAGTTGATAGTTCAATCATGTAAATAGTACAATGTATAGTGAGATAGTAGAAATTAAAATACCCACAAAGGTTGCAGATGTTAGAACTTTTAAAGCCCCGTGTGCTGGTCAAAGGGATTTTAACTTTTAATAATTGCACATTTTAGTAAGTCTTGCAGTGAGCTGGACATATGCCAACAGTAAAATTCAGCATGTATTTAGATTAAAGGGACAGTAGAAAGCATTTCTAACAGTAACTGGACCAGATGCCATGTTACTATTCTCACTGGCGGTGCACATTTTCATTATAATACATTCTGGTGCAAATACTAATATCTCTGTATTTTGATATAACACAGTATAATTTAGATTCACATAGAAAATGTTTCCAGTGAAAAAATTATAATTAAAGTATTTTATACAATACAACTGGCTATACATGTGAGAGTCATGACAACAAATTGCAAACAAAAATGATCACAAATTCTTGACCACTAATTTTATATTTCAGGGCTGATACATTACACCAAGTCTACAAATAATCCACACTTCTTACCTATTGTATGATTATGTTATGTCATCAAGATCAAATAAGTATTGTATTGGCCTCAATATTTTCATGAAGTTTCTGCTTACCTAAATAGTGACTAAACCCAGATTTGGGTAAGGCTGTGTCACGGTTTCAACTAAGAGCCAAATTCCCCTATGTTTCCCAGGTTGAACTATTACCAAATAATGTATGGGATAACATATTTTACTTTCATTTATAGTACTTGTAAATAAATCAATAATATGGCAATAAACATATAAATGAATTTACACAACTCAAATATATAAATAAATAAAGTTACATTACAAGGGTATGCTCTAAGTACAGGAATAATAGGGTCTACTTAACAAATAAATTACTTGCTGCCGGTTCGCAACACAGTTGCATATGTGGCGCCCTCTAGTGGCTCTTTCGTTTTTGGTCGAAGTTGACCTTTTACCTTTTTGAAAATCACAAGTTTTCACGCTACCGCGGCATTTGATTTGACTCGTCACTAAAGCTAAATTCATCATTCAATTCACGCTATTCCATGGTCAAGACACAAACGTAAGTGTGATCTTATTTCCCGTTACTGTAATAACGACATCCTTCAGAATTATAAATTTTTTGATGAGTGAATTCAGCGAGGTTTCTAAATGCAATTTTACATGAGACGTTGTAGGTCAGCATGATGTGGAAAATTCCGTGAAACTTTATGTATTTGTTTTTTATCGATGATTGTGCAACCAATGCCTTAATTAGCGATTTATTTGTGAATAGTTTATCTGATTTATTGTTATGTCTCAATATTCGCAACCTTAGTTTGATTATGTGCAATTCTGTTTCACTGCTTATCACGTGACCGCTATCTCAATGTGTGATGTAATTGACTTGTATCGCAACAACTACTTCTGTATTTTTATTGTTCGCTATTATTGGTCTCTAAGCCGCGAATATTACAGATGTGTGAATCGTATTTTATTGTCTAGTGCATCTCTGAGTTATATATTTACATTATAATTGTACATTATTTATACCTTTGTAATTTCTTTATTTTTATTTTATTTTTACAGTTGAAACTATTGTCATTGTCACTGCCATTATTTTATTGTAAGTCGACCTCGTATATCTACTGGATGTGATTAAAGTGATCAATCCGTTGATAGTTGTGTTTTATCCAATTAAATGTGTCGTGTTAATATTCACCCTCAACCGAACAGCAGGAGCTGTTACAATGACAAGTATATTCCAGCTGGTCCGAATGCAGAGCGACGTTCCTTCGTCTTGATATTGCGTACAGGTACGGACTTCGGGCGGCACTGACGAATTTCGCGGATCACTGGAACGACCTAAAACAGAAGACACCTAAAAACAAGCTTTAAATTCAAAAAGGAAACAAGAGGAAAATAAACGAAACTACCCACGTCGACGTCAAACCAAAAGTGAGCCAAATCCTCAGCTTTCTTATGCAAAGCATTGTGGATTCAAAAACGCCACCAACGGCCAAAACCACATTTAACCAGACACCGTATAGGGCGCTATTGAATTGAATTCAAATCAAAATACATTTCAATCTTTTTGTAATATTTTATATTTAATTCATGCCTTACATAACATCTCCGCCCATAAAAGGAAAGGTGGAAATCTAACATTTTCAGCTTTTCATATTCAACATCTCGCAATACACTAAATAAGTAATTTATTTACAATATTCGTTTTGTTTTCCAAGTACAATACTTATATATCTCTGGATAAAGCATCGGCATTTCAAACAAGAGAAAAATAAACGAAACTACCTACGTCGACGTCAAACCAAAAGTGAGCAAAATCTTCAGCTTTCTTATGCAAAGCATTGTGGATTCAAAAACGCCACCAACGGCCAAAACCACATTTAACCAGACACCGCGGAGGGCGCTATTGAATTGAATTTCTATATTTAAATTTTTTTGTAATATTTTATATTTAATTTATGCCTTACATAACAGGCTGTATGTGTGAAGCCGTGCGAGATGAATGTAGGCAATATCAACCTTCACAAACTCGTTCACTATTCTCTCATTGTCTTTATTACCTAACCATGCATGAAACATTTCAATCAATCTTTTCCCCTGCACAATAGTATCACTACATTACACAAAGCAGCATACACTGCACCACATTGGGCAATGGACCTGTGGAGAAAAAATAATTATTACACAATTATATAGACATATAAACACAAAATATTTATTTTGTTATTTAGTTATATTTACCTGACATAAATTATTGTTTTGTCAGCCTTGACTCTATATCTTTTAGTTGTTTATGCAATAGTCCATTTCAGTTTCTATTCCTTTTCCACCATTAATATACTCCAAAAATATGTTTGGTCTACAATAGTAATAATAATGATACTACAACTATATGTACTAATATGATGATGAAAATGATAATTGGACTTGTTTCTAAATTATTACCTATCAGGCACAACCGCAACAACCTCCATGGCTGTTCTTTTAAAGTGCAAATGCATTAGGATCCTATTTACAATATCATTTGTTGCTGTGGCAGTCAGTGTTAGAAATGGTCTGCCACCATACATACTTCGAATATCCACCAATTTCTTATAATGTGGTCTAAATGTTTGGCTCCTGTGAAATAAAGCAATAAAACATAATCAAATATTGATTTTAATTTGTATAAATAATTCTTGGTGATCACTATGCATATGACCTTTTCATAAGGATACAAATAACTACTCGCCATGTATCAAGAATATGTGCCTCATCTATAGCTACAAGGCAGACATTATTTCTGTATATTGGAGATCTTAATATTCCATTCCGTGAATCAATGCCCTCAGGGCAGAGAAAAACCACACTAAAAACTCCATTTTTCATATCTTAAATTTAATAATAATAATCTGTCATTTCTAACTCTGTCATCAAACTTATAGATCGCTCACCATTAAGCTCTTCAGAAATATGTGTCTTAGGTGACTCCTTATCCCAAATCAATGGAGGGATCACAAAACATGAACTTTTACCATATCCTGTAAAATGTTAATTCACACTATGTGATTTCCCCCTCTTTTTATTAGAGTAAATTATGTACATTTATATTTGATGAACGTGGCCGTTGCCATACATAATCTAAAAAGATCCGCTCAAAACGAGCCACCAGTGACTAGGTAAAATATGTCACAGTCAACTGGCATGTGTATCACGGTAAACAAACAATTAATTACCGGCAGTAAAAACTCGCGTTTGATTGCCACTGATGTACTCAATAGGAACTATTTTGATAAATGCTTTAAATAAAATCATCAAAACTCGATAGGTAGTTTTTCGGGCTTTCGTCCATAAACGGTGATTTGCCGATTCAATTTTTCATTCAGTCAATGAGCGCACCACGGTGCATATATTAGATATTAAAACATGCGATGTCATTTTTCTCGATGTAAACATAGAAAAACATATTTAAAAATATTGCTGCAAGCAGCAATGCGTCTCGTTTCTGGTTCAAATCATCTAAGTTAAATATCCCAAATGAAAACACACCAACCAAACATTGCACAGTATGTGTTGGACCAGCTAGTACATTGAAGAATATATTATGAAAAATTGTTGATGGGGAAGATTCCCAACAAAAAAAGGAAAACATTTTTAAGTTGTGTTTTCAAGTGCTGGCATACCTTTACATACTGAAAACTGCTGTAGTTATACCCCAGTCAACATTGCAATTGCTGAGATCACCCATCCAACAAAAAAATATGCAATATGGGTTTTGCAAAGTTCATGCTGTTAGGGTTTTGTTATTCTCGCGTCTTAGGGTCTTGCTATTCTCATTCAGAATGTCACTATAGTTTGAAGCTGAGCAAAATCCTAAGTTTAGTCTTTCAGTATATCTGCGCTGGGGTGATCAAAAAGCTGCTGGAAAGTAGTATGAAATTTGGGAAAGTAGCTCGACAAGACTACAAAGCCATAACAAAACTGCAGAAAAGTTGTATGAAAGTTCGAACAGGGATTTGAAAAGACTACCAACTTGTCTGCGAAGTTAGAAGAGTTGCTTTGTTAGTAAGGCAGGAAGTTGAATACAACATTTTTGAAAGCAGTTATAGAAGACTACAAAGTTGAACGATTGGGTCCAGAAGCGTGAACAACTGTATGTAAATTGTGAAAAGTTGTTGGGAGGTTGTATAAAACGTTCACAAAGTCGAATACATAAGTTAGAAAGGAAAACTGAACCAAAAATGTCAACATTGAGGATGCTTTTCAGTATAAAAATTTAGCAGAAATCGTAAATTCGGTGATCTGCGGCACATACCTGTATACTTCAGTATCCCTGGGAAAGTTAAAAAGTAAGGAATAGTGTATGTTGAAAGGTTGCATCAAAATTTGCAAAGTGATTTGAAAAGACTAAAAAATTAGTGAAACTGATTCGGAAGACAGGAAATTTGTATTGACACTTTGTTCGGGAGCAAGATGGATTGAGAAGACTGGGAGTTGTATGTAAAGTTTGAAACGTTGCTGGTATATTACAACAAATCTGTATAGAAATGCTAAAAAATTATCAGGGTGAGAGTAAGCATTGAGACAATGAGTTTATTTACGAGTTAAATAATTATTGTGTTTGAAACCTTTTACGAAGTTAGTTCCAGGTTTGAGTATATGTGGAGGTCAACAGTGTATCATTTGATTCATCTAATTAGATGGTTCTTGCAAAATAAATGAACTAGGCTAACAACTAATTTGGCATGCCTTTGTAGGCAGTGGCGATTGGTCACTGCGTACAATGATAGTAATTTGGTACATACATCTAGACAATATTGGCAGCGTTGGGATATGATCCTTTGGTAGAAATAAAAAAAAATCCTGTGGGTCATCAAATATATTACTGATCTTGTGTTACTATCACATCTCTATCACGAGATATTGTAATAATGCGAGATCCGACAAACCATTTTTAGCATATACCTCGTATTGACTGTCCCCCTTAGCGCTATAAGAAAACAGATGAGTGCAATAATGTTCTATATCACGCCAGGCTCTGTTTGACCAAATTTAAGGAAAAAAATCTTATTTTACATATACAGCAATGCGTACTCTTGATTAGATTCAATCAGTTATCGGTACATCGCATTACCAGAGTTAACATTCATATCTTGTCTGTAAAAAGATTGCCGTAAAACAAGTGTATTTCACTACAGACTGTAGCTATTACACTGATGAAAGGTACGCTATGTACGCTGAATTCACCAAATAATTCCCGCTTTCCCAGTCTGAAAACATTAAGATCATAATTTTAATTTTAACCCTCATAATTACGGTGTACTAAAATTTTATTTTTAAAACGGGGGAGTCAACACCTGCGCATGCGTCAACTGGCCATAGCGTGTCACTGTTTACGAACAAGCGTCTGCCCATGAACCTTTTAGTGTGTGTTATTATCTTCGCTTGAGACTCAATTGCCGCGCGTGCGCAGGTGACGACCCCCCGCTTTAATATAGGAGGGGATCCCATTAACTATAACAAGCTGTCGAACACGAGATGATATTTTTGGCGAAATTCTAACCACGATCAAGAGATTAATTTGAATGAGACCAAAAGTCATGTTGAAGTTATGATCAGAACACATTTCAATGGAGTTCATAGAAGGGAGCAGTTTCACTGGGGTTGTGAAACGCCATTATCGGAGCAATGTCTGTGACTACTATAGTTTCCAAGAAGTACCACACCACTATAATTTATAATGGACATCACCGACCAATCTTCTTGAAGATAAGAGTTGTCACACATACAGCGCACTGGTAAAAAAGTACAAGTGTAAAGTCATATATATGATAAATTAATCATCTATCAAATGATCTTATTCAGAGTAGCAGTACATTCCAATCTACAAGTCATACGTTGTGAATTTTACACAATTCACAAACAAGACGTTAAGAACTTTGAATAATACAACATTTATATAATATTTTAAAGCGAGGTAGCCGTCGCGCTGCGCATCTGTGTTGATAAACATTGATTTTCCCACAATCCAATGCGCACTTCAAATTGAAATCACAAGCATGAGGTTTGACCTATACTCGACTTACATAGTATACCGTCATGACTACTTCGGTACCGTCCAAACACCTACAAATTACCTAAGTAAAGCTTGGAAACATCTCAGTTTGTACTGGTTGATCTGCGCAACAGTCAAAGTCGCCATCTTCGTCTATATCAGACCCATATATCTCGCGCATGCGTGGCGCGACGCCTACCGCCCTTTAACTTTAAATATGACAATGCTATATGAAGAAAGGACTATATTCTCTTTCTGAATGTGTTATTTGTAAAAAGTGTGTGCTATGTTTTAAAATGTAACTTATAATCATGCTACACACTAAATGAATGAATGTGTATGTTTCTTTTTTGTCGCAATTAAACTGAATTATATGATTGAATAAATATGTACTCGTAGTCTCACCAGAGACAATATGTTTCAAACATACTTTTTGTTACTTAGACATTGCGTGATTCATTTGAATTTATAAACATTTCTGAATATTACAAGTTTTTGAAAATTCATAATTTCACAAACTTTTTGTTATTAATAGATGCACTTCTTAATCATCACATTGTTGCATTGACCAACCCAAAGCAGTTTCGACTAGACCTGGACATGGGCGTTATTTATACTCACTCATCAGCTGCCAACTCAAAACCGATCACGTGAATGTAAAGAATAGACGATTTTGAGACCCCTTTCTTTAGATGAAAAGTGCTTCATAATCTTACCACATTTTGAATAAATGAATGGGTTCTCTGTAAAAGTAATGCATTATATGAGTAAATAATCGTATTACACTAATCAAATGCATAGGTTTTTAATTTTGCTACTACACTATGATAAATATATGGTCTTTTGAAACATATTTTAGCAATAAATTACTATAAAATTTATAAAGTTAATATACTGTAAGGGACGACGTCAAAAGATCGATGTCGGATAAAAAACTTATTCGCTTTAGTTTGGGGGTTGGGGGGTTTTACCTCAAAAAGTTTCCATCCTACAAAAACGATTTGATTTTTTAATGAAGTCAAAAAAATCTTGGAGTATTTGTAGTTCGTTTTTTTTTTCTATCCAATCATGAACAAAAATAACAAAACATCCAAGACGAGAAAATGGTTTGGTCCTAGTGTAAATATGTGTATATATTTGTAAAGTTTGTTTACACCCACACGACAACCAACTTCTATGCCATACTACTGCCCGATTATCAATTTGTATTTAATGGTGAATGTAGTCTGACGCCATGATCAATATTTATCAATTAGGTTTCAGTGGGGGGGGGGGGAACTAAAGGAATTAAGTTTTTTATCCTACATTAAACTTTTGATGTTGTCCCTAATTGCAGTAATGTTTGCGATAGTGGCATATTCCATGCTCGAATGAACTACACATTTTTAGAATAAGTTATTTGTAATGTCAATACACTGTTATAAATTAAATTGGTATGTGAATACAGCACCCTTGCTATTTATGGCGTAATTCAACTACGACGTCATAATCAAATGGTGTCCTTGCCTGTCCGGATCTGCCTACCATAGATGGCGTCTTAGATCCAGGAGGAAGTCTAAAAACAAACTTTTGAATCAGTCGTGTTGTGATGAGAAATATATCCATTTTAGCCAAGTCTTGACCGGGGCAAGCACGCAAACCTGTAAGTGAGGTAAAACGTCAATTATAGTATGTTCAACTCAAATCAAATAATGAACGTCATCACCAGCTACAACATTAGCAAAGGTTATAATTAATATATTTTGTTAATTTGCTCATAGAAATAATGCTTTAGATACATGTGATTTGAATGTATATGCTTATACTAAGCGAGCCTATTCTCTAATTGTGGTTTAAACATATTGACTTTGAGCGTTTGCGTGTTTTTCTTGTTAAAAAAAGAATTAACGGGTTTTATCAGTTTTCCATTGACCTCCACTACCTAAATACACATTTTGCTAAAAAAAAATCGAAAATCTACTCTGAGGGTCGAATTGCTTTTCAATGAGCTTGCGTTGTTGCTGTTCTAGTTGGCCGTTTTGCACTGTGACCTTATATCTAATATAGGGTTATGATATACTATATAAATTAGACTTCTGAAACCCACTGTCTTTTTTCATTCCTCAAATACATATGTGGACCAACTGACACTGAGATATCAAACACATGTATTATTTGTTGTAGAGCATAAATGCATACGTGATACATGGTATAAGTTTGCCATCCAAGTGTGTCAGGTTGTCGTTGCTCTGTTCACTATTCCAAAGAACAAGACAGCTTGACACCAGTTGTTAGATGCGTATGTTCAGTGGTATTGTTTTCGTTCAAAAAGTAGCAATTAGAATTATTTTATGGCTTCACATTCAATATCTGTTAAGGTTTTCAAAACATACGCTATGTTACAATGTTAAATAATCGGGAATTATTTTGGTAATTAACCCATTGGTTGGAATTGCAACTAGCTATATAAGTTCAAAAAATGATTATGCATAATAAAACCCAAACTATTTACCAATGCTAAATGGAATAACGTGGTTCTTGTTTGCGATGCCATCGCCCATGAATCTATCTGGGTTAAACTTGTATGGATTTGACCACTTCTTCTCATTCATATGATTGGCCCATATATTTGCTATCACTGTGGTACCTTTAGGTATGATGTGACCATTGATATTCGTATCCGTGTTGACTAGGCGAGGTACTCCAAGTGGAATGACATTAGCACATCGATGGATTTCAAGAATTGTTGCTTCAACGTATGGGAGATTTCCCCTATTCTGAAATGTCAGATGTTGTTCAATTCCCACCACTCCCACTATTTCTGAGTAACACTTCTCCTGGATCTCCGGGTTCATGGCTAGGTAAAGTATTCCCCACAATAATGTTCCGGATGTTGTATGTATCCCTGGTATGAACATACTTTTTGCAGCTTCAACTAGGTTTGTGATATCATCGCCATATGTATCTGGTTCAATCAGAAACGAATCTATAATATTTTCAGGTTCTTTGTCGAGCAACTGTTGTCGACGCTCGATAATCATGTCTCTGATAAATGATGACACTTCTGATTCAAGTGACAGAAAGAAGCGTTTCTTGGATGAAGGAATATACCAAAATAATGGTAGAAATGTTAATAAATTGGTATTGGTCACGGCTTTTTCAGACACCCTTGCCAAAAGTGTTCTGAAATTATCATTACAGTAATTATACCTTTTACTGAACACCACTGTACACAAAATGTTGCCAACTACATTATAGATAACATGTCTTAAAGATATTGGTTTTCCTGCACTATTAGTGATGTACTTTTCTAAGACGTCACATTCTGCCTTCACAATCTTTTCCATTCCTTCATTTTTCACAACATATTCATTTACTGACTTGATCATATGTTTACGTGTAACTTTCCAGTCGTTCCATAGAGTGGCCACACCTATAGACATAATAAAATAAAGTGAATACAAGTTGACCACAGTTTATCAACTAAACTAAACTGGAAGTGTATATCAGGAATAGAAGTACAGCATAGCAAATGGAATGTATATATGTTATATTGCGAAAATATTACTTTGACCTTTGTTCCAAAATGTTAACCAGGACCAAGTTCCTTTTCTGAACAATCAAACAAAGTATTAAAATATTTCTATTTTGATACACATCGGTAACATGTTTGCCAATTTTAAAGGCCCGATGAGTATTTAATGAACATCATTACCCCAAAATCACTATTTTCCCTAGTGTACAAAAACACGTATACATATGTCCCGAAAAGTTGTCATGTATTGTGGGTTAGATGGAACACGTGTGTTCCAAGTTTGAAGTTTTTAGCTATTCTCCTTGTAACAAAATGCTAAACACTTGTGACCTTTATCTTTCATCCAAACATGTTACACAAGTCGCACAGGGAGCATGCCCGGGGGGGTGGGGGGGGTGATACATAGCTGAGTAGGGAGGTTCCCCCTGAGTGCTCAAAAGTGTGACCATTTTTATACCTGGATGGTGGCAAAATCTATATCCATATTTATACCAAAGTACCATTTCTGTCATCACTGTTTGTTCCAAATGAACTTATCACATCTGGACATTCTCCAAAAATCTTTTCCAAAAGACTCACGCCGGCGTCTGCCATTACTAACTATGTACGCATGCGCGATCTCAGGCTCCACCGAGGAATGTGCGCCCTCTTCTATTCCGTGTTAAATATCCGTTTAAATGTTGAATGCCTTGTTTAATTTCCGGGTTGATGAATGTATGGATCTGAGGCCGGGATCTGAGGTGGAGATATTCGCTCATATACGGACCCATAAGTATACCAAATCGGGAAAATATTAACGCTATTTATACCTATCTTGACCAGAAATAAGACCAATACGTATACCTAAAATCCAAAAAACTAGACCCATTTCAGGGGCACTCCCCATTAGGCAAGTTATATGTACCCGGGGGGAGCATGTTTGGCAAGATTGAAGAGAGAACCTTTGCTTGAGCCATTAGAAAAATCTGAGCAATCATGTACTCTGGGTATAAGTGTGATCCCCTGATCATCACTGGATACAAGTTGTAACGACAGACGCTGTTTAGCAACTTTATCAACTGCTTCAAGTCGATTTGCTCGTTTGAAGACCATTTTTGTAAATGTGACATCATTTATCTAATCACTAATACCCACTCAGACTGTTATCGGGTGAAATGAAATGTACTAAATGATTATATATAATGGGTGCATGCGCACATACAAAGGTTCTATTTATTCTGATGCGTATAAAGTGAATGGTAAATACGATATTTTCATTTCACTCTTGGTGGCCTTTATAACAACCTACACACTAACATTTCTGTAATTTATTTACCAAGGGGAGAAATACAATATATGTAGTACAATTTATTGATGTAGTTTTCAATATTTATATTCAGTATTCCATCCAATGATAGCTTTTGTATGCAAATTAAAAAAAAAATATTTTATTTTTACAAATGCCCAAATAGTTTGGAATCATCTGATTTGATATTATTGCCTAGTTCTGCTGAATCAGGGAGGGGAGCAGTTAATTACAGGTTGCTAAAAAGGCGAAGGCCTTGTTTCAATGACACTGGAAAGTCAGTTAATACTACTGTTGTTGTAACAGGTGCTGCTGAAAAGGATGAAATTAACTTGCAAATGGTGGACCAGGAGCCCACAATGAACGAGAATGACTTGTGCAGAAGAGAATTTTTATTCAGGTCAATCGGAAGATGATAAGTGCAGACAAAATCTTGTAATTGAAAGCATAATTTCATTTTCAGTCAATTGTTGACTGAAAAACTCAAAATTAAAATGTTATTTCATTACAGATTAATTGTAAACTGAAAAAAGAAGTTTGATGAAACATGTTATCTGTTTACATTACAACTCCTTGCTTAACAATATTATGCTTTTTTATGTAATTTTTGTTCACAACTGCCCTACATGATATAGAATGCAAACCTCCTTGACCACTCACTGCAAAGTACTTTTACCCTATTGTATCCCTCAGAGCACAGCAAGCTAGACAATGACCCAATAACAAGGTGGTAAAAATTGTTGAAATACAATACTTTTTATGACGATCTGATCAAAAAGTATAATATAATGGAATCAAATGTTTTATTTTTTGTGGGAAGAACAATTATTGAATACATATCCTAATTTCTTCCAAACATCTCAAAGGTTACCCCTTCTAACAAATTCTTGAAAAATCATTTTTAATTTGATAAGTTGTCAATTAAGATTCATTCACAAAATGTTCCCAATGTAACCTGGTTCATTCCTTCCAACTTATAATCTAATAATCTTGTGTTTCAAATTAATCACTCTTGAAAAGTGCATGAAAATTTGTTTTCAATTTGTTGAGTTTGAGTTGAAAAAATTTCCAAAATTGCAGCTTTCATGTCAACCGGGTGTGGATCTCCCTGAACCTATTTTTGATTATATGAATGTATTTAACCCCTTCTGACAATTGAATTACGAATTACCATTATTTTACGAAATATTAATACAAAAAATACTCCCTAGCAGATTTGATGAGAATCCATCCGTAATGTTTTTGAGTATAAATGCTAAGTCATTCACAAAATTAATGTTTCGAATCTTTACCAAAATTAAACCATCTCTAACAAGAAAAACAACAATGAATTGTTTGGTACATGTATGAAGCAAACCTTTCAGACATATTAAACGTACTTGGATGCATCATTTTATGTATATAAAGAGATTATAACCACCTACTGCACACATTTTTTAAACATGTGCTCCTAACTTGAAACAAAATTAGAAATCAGACAACTGTTGTACAAAAGTAACGTAGTACATTAACATATCAATGTTTCAATCAACCAACCTTTCTGATTTGTTGCTCTGCTGATTATCCACTGCTTCGGACGGTCTGCAACTTTTGTTGATGTATGCAGAAACGCGTCTCTTATCGCATCGTAGCTATTGAGTACAACCACTAACTGTACCCCAAGCTTTACACTGAATACGTCACCGTAAGTTTGACTCCATTTGTGGAACTTCAAATGTGTGTGTTCACAACATTGCAGCACTAACCCAATCAAAGGCCATCCTTGTGGACCAGGTGGTAGATTATATCGACGATGGACAACCACTTTGTACACAAAATACAAGCATGATGCTAGTAGAATCAAAGTTTGCACCAATGACAATAAGAATGCAACAGCCATGATATACTCGCATTTGTCGTGCCAGGAAGTATACTGTAAATGGAACAAATTGTGTATAACTATATAGGACTACAGATTTGACAAACAGGTTCCACATGCGACTCACATCACACAAGTCACAGCATTGATTTATGTATGTTGAGCTACAAAGGAGGGGGATAGCTAGAAACTTCAAACTTCGCAAATATCTAACCCACATGACAGAAACAAAAGTCACAACATATATGTATGTATGTACGTATACTAGGGAAAGTCACTGTCTTTAAAGGGCCATTAGCGGCTATTTTAAGCTTTTTTTTCATAATTTAAATTAATCTACAATTTACTGAACACGAAGTCAAAAATAGTGCAAATTTACCATGTGCCAGCGAAAAATAAAAAATCATCATACTCGACCAAACAATGGCTGACTCAAGTGCGTATTTCAAGGTAAGTATAAACCATCTTATTTCGTTGCGTTTCCCTGCACAACTTTTATTGTAGTTGAATTTCCCAGACTTTTTCTCTTGCAATGTTGTTCTCAGTCGACCTTTTGCCTGTTTTTTGTCAATCCCGATCACACTGTATGGCGATCGTGTTTGTCTACCATTCTCTAAGACGGACGTATACGTATACGATCCAAAGTGTACAATTGCATTTCTCAGCGATTTATCACGAAATAAATGTGTAGGCAAAAGCTACCAGTAGTTGTTATTATTAAATGCATTGGAATGAAAGTCGTAGCAGTAGCTGACGATCGCGATGGAGAGGGGTGAAGACATGGATTTGTATATAAATTTGAAGCACAGTCCCAGGGGATATAAATTGTGTATGCCATTACACTGTTTAACATACTTGGATGAATTATAAATTATGATACTTTAGTATTAGTACCCCATGGTTTAGTACATACATTTTGTGAACAGGAAGTTTACTTGATTATGTAATAAATTATGTACTTTACGTGAAGGTCATGGTTACTATTTTGCATAAATTACATTGTCTGCCAAATCTACTATTCAGGCCCAAATCCTTCCAATCGTAGCTGTAGTACATGCAACACTGTTAGATAAGGGTAACCTCAACCAAAGAGACTCTTCACAAAATTAAATTTTGAAGCCCTACACCTAACAATGCTAATACTGTAAAATACTTTATTTTAGACGTAATTAATTTTCGCTAAAAAATATATTCTGGTTTTTTTGTATGGAGTTTATTTTCACTGATAATATTGGAGGGAAAAATATTTTCAGTGAAAATAAAAGTGGTTTACAGTATTGTCTCAAGCAATCATTAAATTTTGTTGTGCTAATAGTCAGATGCTGTAAAGAGTTACTACTGTATTTTCTACAGGCATCAAACAGTGCTCTAGACACCACAAATTAAAGTGAGCCAGTTCCACATAGAAGGGGCGTGACGGTAGAGGTTGTGTCCGGGGACAAGGTACTCAACGAAAAGGTGGACATGGTAGAGGGCAAGGCTTAACTGTCAGAAATGACATTTTTGCATGTCTGTCGTCGTTTTTGTTTGGCACAATCACTCACACTTCGACGACCTCACTGCCTACAACAAGTATGGTCCGCCATTTTTTTATAGGAGTATACTGCGCATGCTTTCGGGTATACTCCGTTTTACGGGGAAAACGCCGCTAATGGTCCTTTTTTCAATATATGTGTTAATGTCGATGTGACTTGGGTCGTGTATGTACAAATAAAAGCTGGCATAAGTACTCCATAAAAATATATGCACAATTTGTTGTCAAAAATGAGAAACCACAAATACAGCTGAACATGTTATCTACAAATATCACAATAACCCTCTAACATATGGTGGTATCCGAGCCACGGAATTACAAGGAAATCGGCAATGTGACTAATACATTCCTCTAAATGGGTTAAATAGCTGACTTACATGTGAATCTGTATATTGAAAATGCCTCTTCTTTATTGGTGTAGTAGGATGAGATATGAAGTATTCGACTAAATAATTCCCTATATTTCTATAGCATATACCAGTAGAAAACAGAAAATGCTGGTATTCCTGGGTCACAGATTAACACATCTGCCCGATACAATGCACTAGGCAAATATTTAAGTAGCATAATTTTTTTTGGTCAAATTCTTGGTACATTTTAAAAATCCATGTCAATTCATATATTTAATGTCTAAATCGAAGGTGTAAAAAATATAAAGATAACCCTTCCTTGACGCACACTTCTCGAACTTGGGATTTTGGGGAAAAAAACAATGCAATTCTTGTTGGAAAGAGTTATTCTTTGTTAAATTAAAAGGGATTTTAGATTCAGGGTAATTTAATTTAGACACTAATTTTAACCATTGTGTGAAATAAAAAAAAATATTGTATTGTAAACTCACTTATGTCTACATGCATGTGTTAGATTCATAAAGAAATAAAGAAAAAAAATGTCTAATGCTTTGATATATGAAATGAGGGAAAGTATCTTGCAGACTTTCCCTGGGTAGTAAATGTTTTTAAGACTTATGCAACTGGGGAAAAAGTTTCTATCAAACTGACAACCTAAAAATGTCAACATTGACTTTTTATGCACAAAATGATAATGTGTTCACCAATGATGCATATATGCTGTGATATTTGACATCAATTGTAAGCGAATAGTACTTTTAGAAAACAGGGCCCCTTGATGTGTGAATGAAAAGCACACGTTTAGATACTTTGCAACAACTTTGCATATGTTTATATATGCATATGTTTTGCATATGTTTTGCATATACAACTTTGCATATGTTTTTATGCATATGCATATATATTTTGCATATGTTTATTTTTAGTCTGCAGAATTTGGGATACATGCATCCTGTCGACCCCAGTGACATACCGGTATGTCTGTTGCATGGTGAATGTGAAATACCTTTGAACGCGCTGAACCCATTGTTCTTGGCCGTTAAAATAAATGTGACATCATTGACTAGACTGGCGCAGTCGGGCGATTAATTTGTTTTTGTAGTTTAAATAAACTAAAAAATTGGAAATGGAAGTGTTAGCGCGAAATCACCCCGACTGGTTTATTCTGCAGGAAATCCATTGCTATTAAATGTTCATGAGTGCACATATTATAATGAGGTGGGCGCGGAAATACGTGCATAATGAGGTCAACATGGTAAAGGTCACACTGCAGACCCAACATGGCGGCACGTTGAAATTCGAGTTTGTCGTAGTCGTCGTTTCTAAATCATCACAATGTGTAAAAAAGTAACTCGTACTAGTCGTAGAATAAAAAAAAAATCGGCTGCTACAATCAGCCGACGTCTTCTCGGTCAGAGGTCAGTTGAAGAGACGTTGTGATTGGCTTAGATGATTGTCAATTAGAACACTCATTAACATAATTACCCGTTGAAAAATCGACGGGTTCCTGCAGTGTCGATAGAGGGCCATGCAGAATAAACCAGTCGTGACTGGGTGACTGGTTTTTATTTTATTTAAACTACAAAAACAAATTAATCGCCCCGACTGTGCCAGTCTAATCATTGACATGAGTCTCCTATTTTAAATTGGTAGAGCTTGGATAAAATCTGGTTTATTCCACTGCCATATTTGGCATCATCTATACAGTGTCCACTATTTCGAGATGAAATGTATTCAACAAAATTATTGGTTATTGTTTTCATGTCCATAATTCAGTTGTAGTATTGAATTTTAGAAAGAGGTTTAGTCAGAAAGGTGAACTTAAATAATTTTCATATAGTAGATAATTTGGGTGTTTACAGTGAATATACGTGTATGCCTGGCATACTGTACAATTCAGTAATACCTTGTGCGCACAGAACAAATAAATTTATATTTTGATAGTGATTTAATCTTTCTTTGTTGATCCTTATCATTTCCAAGCGTTGGGAGGTAACATGTGTTCCTTCCTAACATTGGACCGTGACAGTTACTGGTATATTTCCTTCCTTGTACTGCCTCAGATGTGGTAATATACTTCCAACAAACGACCCCAATCCCTTGACACGCTGAAGGGAGAAGACTAATATGATAAGCAAGATACTAGACACGTGTATTATTAGACCTGTATTGAAAATAATCTCCTAGCTCCTGAATACAAAGTAGCCCCCCCCCCCGTATTTTACGTAACCGTTGGTCAATAGACTGGCACAGTCTAAGCGATTTATTTCTTTTTAAATTTAAAATTAAATAACAAAAAATAGTGAAATAGAGGTGTTAACGCGAAATCACCCAGACTGGACGTTTTTGCCGCGTCCTCTGTGGTGAAAGCAGGAACTAGTGTGTTTTCATACTAGTTTTTATGTTAATGAGCAGAATGACAGGCAAGAACGTTATCCAATCAGAGTAATTTGACCTTTAAACTATATCTAGTTAACCTTTGTACCTGAAGACAGGGAGTTGGACAAACTTACAAATTTTAATAAATTATTAAATAAAAAAGTGTTATATAACTTTTCTTTTACCCCCCCCCCCTCCTGGTATCGATTTCAAGTAATCACTGATCTTTGTTTATACCACTCTTTCCTTTATCACAATCTTTGTTACGCGCTATGTTATATGCAAATTTTAACGCGCGATGTAGACACACCCTATTATAGTAAAATATCCCAAGGGTTGAAACGCGCCAGGACTGTGGCATGAGCACAACCGTAAAGCGGGTGGGCATTTAATTTATTCATGAGATGCATTAATAAACAAGAAATGCTGCGCGCGAAATTTAAATCCGGCGAGTGTAATTTCCGACGCGACGCAACTTCAATGAATCAGTGACTCTTCTGTAAAATGGTTTCTACTTGATAATACATATAATTTTCTACGGTAGTCTAAATAAAAGCGTCGCGTCGTAACATAAGATTATCCAGGATAACATTTAACCTTTAAAAACCCGATATGATTCATGGGAAAATTGTTTACTTCTGATCATGTGACACAACTATATACGAGTCATTCTTTACGGTTGTGCTCCTGTCATGTCGCTCGATCGCAATGAGTTTTAATTTGACAAATATTCAAGTGCAAATGCAATTGTGTCACTT